GTGTTTATGCTGTTGCTTTGACGTTTTGGTTATGCATATTTACATGTGATATATTGTTTGAGCTATTGGCGTTTTTTCGACATGAATGTATTTATTGTGATTTGGTTGATGTGTAGGTCCATCGTCGTATATATCGTGTAAATGTAGGAATGTTTTACAGCTCCATTGTGTTGGCTATGTAAAAATGAAGTCGTATTTTTTTGTGTGTGTCTTTTTTCCCTTTCAAGCTATACATAATTTCATTATATTGTTAATGGTGTAAATATGTGTATATAACATGTTAAATGTTGTTTTCTACCATGTCTACTACTTTTTAGAACATTAAAAGTGAATAACGCTATACACCGCCATGTTTGGGGCGGTATTCGTACGTATGTAAAATTGCAGCACCATTTTCTGTTTTGTGCACATTTGTTATGTTTTCATCAGAAAAGAATGACATAATTGTGTTCCCCTTTTAATCCCGTTATAAGGAATAACCATGATTGTGTTTTGGTGGGGTTTTCTTAATTGTATCTACCGAAAAAAAAAGGAAAAACATTAGTGCGTAAACCATTTCACGATTTAATGCAAAATGCACATTTTTTTTTATAACCCCAAATATAATCCTGGTTATTCCTTAAATACACTGATTTGTACTTCACAGATGTTTTAAACAATTTAAATTTTGAATATAATGAGGGTTTTCCTGCCCGGTCAAAAGGGTCTTAAAATAATTGTGTATAATATTACTTCGATTTGAAATGTTGGAAAAAATATTCAAACCAGGCAAAGCGGCCTTCGTCAATTATTTTTTACAAACATTTTCTCATAATGCGTAATATATTTTACTAAAGACCACTTACATTTTTTTGTCATTCTTTAATATCCTTCATGTGTTTCAGACAAGTGTATCTATTTATCAAGTCCAGTCATAACATCCTACTTATGATAAATATGCATACATCATTAGTGAACATGATTTCATTATACTAATGTAAATTAAATGTTTGATTGGAGGAGGCCAGATAATTACAAGGTGTTATTAACACAACATCAATAATATAATAATAATAAATTTTCACATTGAATTTAAGTCTTTTACATCTTCCGAGGTTCTCCGAATATTATTCGTAATATTGTAGTTAAGATGTTAAATATTTTTCATGACGTCATCAATAATACACATGCACTTGTGATGTCACAGTAGCCATAGCAAAAATCCATGACGTCACTAACATAAAAAATACAGGAAATCTTATTAGAAGTTAATTATATATATATATATATATATTCTATTAGCTAAACATAGAATTATCAATAGTAAAAGACAACCCAAAAATCTCAAAAGGCTATTGAGTTTTTCCAAGTTTGAAATGAATCAAGCTGAACTTATTGTGTCTAAATGTAATTCGCCAAGATGTGGAACATGTAAAATAATTATTGAAGGTTCTACTTTTGTTTTCAAAAATGGATTGAAATTCCCTGTACGTTCGAGTATGAATTGTAAGTCGAAGAATGTTATATATGCTATAGTGTGTGTTAAATGTTTGGAATTTTATATTGGCCAAACTGGGCGTGAACTACGTCAAAGAATGACTCTTCACAAGCAACAAACAATCCATGATGACCTTAGATTTTTACAAGTGAACAAACATATTCATAACTGTGCTAACAATAACTTCAAAGTGTTCCCTATTTACCAAATGCATTCATCTGATGTGATAAAGAGGGAAGTTAAGGAGTCGGAGTTAATGAAACTGTTGAAACCCAGTCTGAATAGTTCACATTAAATTCAACGTGTCATGCTTTAAGCAATTGCTGTGCTTTAAATATTATTGTTCATATTTTATTGTTGCCGTAAATGAAACAATTTGTATCTCCCGTATTTTTTATTGTTGGTAAGATCATAAAGTTATGCATTTGTCTAAGTAATGTAACGTCACAATTTAGCTTGTATTGTTGTTGACGTCATGGATTTATGTGTATGCCTTCTGTGACGTCATAATGACTTTGCATTATTGATGACGTCATACTTTCTTGTGTAAACAACTATGACCTCACAATACCTGTTTTCAAAATAAACAGTCTCCTGATGAACGGGGAATCAACCCGAGAAAGGCCTAGAGACGCTATCTCTGTCTTTTGTTCTATTTTTATATATATATATGTATATATACTTTTCCATATATAAACGTTATGGAATTTGTTTCAATACGAGTAAGTAAATAATTTGCATTACTTGACATTTACATACAATTGTGGTCTAACACTCAGAGATAGAATTGTAAAATACTCTTGTGGGATTTTTAAAAAAGACTCCCGTGTATAACCGACTTGAAAGCGAATAACTCCTATGATCAAACTGTATACAATGTTCAACGACATTGCAATGCGCCGACTCACGTTAAAAACGAACATAACACCGAGTTCTGTTACTACTTCTAATATTGTTAACAGTCCTCGGTAGTGGATACAGCTCATTAAAGACCTAACGAAATCTAGCTAATTACCAATGACCTGTACAACACAATATTCCCTTCCTCTTTATAGGACAAAATCAGTACTGGTGTTAGCTTTGCAAAGTGAAAATGAGGTGAAAATATAATAGATACCGTCTGTGCCCAACAAAGCGTTAACTTAAATATATGCTGGCTTATGTCGTACATGTATATACGTAACACTATCCCATCAAACAGAACCATGTCCATGTATAAACGTAACACTATCCCATCAAACAGAACCATGTCGATGTATATACGTAACACTATCCCATCAAACAGAAGCATGTCGATGTATATACGTAACACTATCCCATCAAACAGAGCCATGTCCATGTATATACGAAACACTATCCCATCAAACAGAATCATGTCCATGTATATACGTAACACTATCCCATCAAACAGAACCATGTCCATGTATATACGTAACACTATCCCATCAAACAGAGCCATGTCCATGTATATACGTAACACTATCCCATCAAACAGAATCATGTCCATGTATATACGTAAAACTATCCCATCAAACAGAACCATGTCCATGTATATACGTAACACTTTCCCATCAAA